AAATATTTTGAAATATTCTAGAACTGTGGTCCCCAGCCCCTGGGCTGCAGACCTCTACTGGTCCATGGCCTGTTAGGAACTGGGCCGCACAGTAGGAGGTGAGCGGCGGGTGAGAGAAGCTTCATCTATATTTACAGCTGTTGCATATCACTTGCTATATTCCCTCCAGTGGGTGGAATAATTGTCTTCCATGAAACCAGTCCCCAGTGCCAGAAAGGCTGGGGACCACTGTCCTAAAACATGTAACCAAGCAGTCTCTGTTTGTACATGTCTAATAGACACTTCATTTACATCACACAGTAGTAAATTTTATAATGAAAATATTGTGTCAGTCTATTATTTTGGCTGTTTTTTCTTAATGCAGAAATAAGTGAAATTTTTGTTTTTAATAAATTCAATATTTATGAATAGCTTATGAATAGTAAAATCACATCCTTAGAGTTTCACTAAAAATAATTTAAATATTGTCATTTTAGTCAGCTGTTTAATGTTATATGGGTAACCATCAACTCAGTATCCATTGGCCTATTTCCTCTCCAAATACCTGTCATTGTGTAGACACAGTCAAAATATCATTCACTCATTCATTTATTCATTCATCAATGTGGCAAATATTTTTGGGGACAATTCTGGGTCAGGGGCTAGGTGACTGAAGGAATTTATAGATGCATGGTAGCTGCTGCCATTCAAGAAGCTGACAAACAATAAGGAAGACAAAAACCATATTTAAATGACTATGTTGCGCTGTAGAGTGGGAATTACACCATGTGAGGGATACAGAAAGCTGTTGTGCTCAGAGGGAAAAATTTTTGAGTATCAGGGAATAAAAGTGAAGAAGGCAAAATTGAACTGGACTTTGATAGTTGGAAATTATTAGGAAGAACATCATTGATGGATAAAACAATATGAGCAAATGTATGGAAACAGGGAGAAATATCTTGGAGATTTTAGGAAAAAGTTTAGTACAATAGAAGTTGAAAAGTTGGAGTTGATTCAGAAAACGTGTGGTAGGGCTGCATTTAAGAGTCCTTACCTTATTTTATTGACAATTTTGTAGTACATAGCTAAAGAAAAGTAATAGAAAAGTAGCTAATGTACAGTAATTTGGCTACAGCCATGTCTGGTATAGAGTAGGAAAGGAGTTATAGATGGAGGAGCATCATTTTGGAGGCACTTATAGTAATCCAGATGAAAAATAACAAGGCTGAAACTGAGGGAGTGGTAGAACTAATGAAAAGGAAGAGATGGATCGTGAGACATTTACTTTGCATAATGCTTGGGATTTGGCAACTGATTTGTTGTGAAGGTCACAAGAATAAAACTTTAATCTTAAGGGACTAAGGCCATGGTGGTGTCATTAACAGGAAAAGAAGAAGGCAGATTATGGTTGAAAGAAGTAAAGAAAAATACACTCATTTCATTTTAAGGTATATTGAGCTTGAATGTCAATTGAATAGCCCCATAAAATAAATCTAGCAGCAATAAGAATATAACTCTCAAAAGAAATTAAACCAGAGGGAAAGAGATATTAATTAAATTGACAGAAATGGATGGATCGAGAGGACAGAACCAGAGAAGTTCATGCAGAGGACCTATGAAGATGTCCATACATAAATGCAGAGAGGAGCAAAAAGCACGAGAAAAGTAGTTAGGGATTTCAGGCCATCAGGAGTAATTAAAAACTAAGATAAAGTCATTGGATTTAGGGGTTAAGATGTCATTTGTGAATCTCAGAAGGACAGATTTTTCATCAGTATTAAGATACATATGCAAAGACTTGCAAATCCATAGGTAGCTGAGAGAAAGAAGGGAGGCTAAGATTGAAAAATGGATCTGAGAGGCACTGCAGGCTGAATTCCACAGTGATGTGCGAATGTGAATGGAAAACCACCAGGAGAGCAATTAAAGACTCCAAAACAAACAAAGGAAAAACCAATTGGGTAGGGTGCTGAAGGTGGGAGACTAGTCTATCAGGTTTTTGGCAATTCATCCTTAGAGAGGCAGCGGCCTCCGAGCTGGCAAAAAGGTACAAGGGGAAGGGAGCAAAACAGTGTCTGGTGCATGGTTTATGACAAAGGGAGATTAAAAACAGGTTTGGATGGCTTTAGACTTCTCAATGAGATCTAGGCAAGATTATCTGCTGAGAGTGAGGAATACTGGCTAGGGAAATAGGTTTTATCCAAAAGGAATACTGAAGTTGTTTCAAACTACTAGTACGAAAATCAGTTTAAGATGACAATAATTTCAATTGTGTTTTGTGCTTCTGAGCTTGATGTGATTGATTCACCATTTTCAGACGTGGCTAATTGAGATTTACTTTGTTCCAGGCGGTGTGGCTACAGCAAAGCAAAGCAAGATCCAGAAGAGGAAAAGATGCATTTTCATAATGGGCATAGTAAGCAAATTGTAAAAAAATAAAAACAAAATAAAATAGGGAAGGCTTTATT